ATAGTTGTCCAACTCGCGACACATGCGATGCAAGTTGGATCTTTGCACTTGAAGGCTCAAGGTCATCATGGGGCAGCTGATTCCACTAGCATGTCACCTACAGTAGACAAGAACATAATCGAAGTCATTGACATATCAACACGCCATCATCAGTTGCCAATAAACACTGATGTAAGTACATGCGTGCATTTACTCCACTCACTTCTCTGGCAACCCACGAGCTCTGTTCACAGGAAAGAAGGTGCCTCAGGGTAATCATGTGCGCGTCCTTCAGATGCTCCATAGCTTGGAGACCTTCCGGCAGATCAGCCCATCTGGGTGGTCGATAATGCGTCAGCAGAGAGTGAACTAGCGTCGCAATAAAGCGCACACCAGCACTCTGGCCACTGGAACCAGAGTTCGATGACGACGTAGTCTTGGCTAGTCGTGCCGACTCAATGAGATTGTGCAGAGATCGGACCATGGGCGAGTCCTGTGGAAATGTGATTGCGGCGGTGGCTGAGGAGGACGCGAGCCAACTTCTTATGGCTCTCAGGTGTCATCGAATGTGAAAAACAACAGTGTCGAAGTGGCATTCACTTGGAGGTGCAGGCTTAAATGCCGATAGTGATAATGAGCACAAGTGCATCAATAGCGGAAGAGTAGCACATCAAGGTGACTTCGTGTTCCTATTGCGAGGGAGCAGAACTACCGAAATGTTGCTGGGGATATTGCTGATGGGTCTGATGCTGTTGTTGAAGATGCAGATGTGCAGCAGCTGCAACAGCCATTTTTTGATGCCGTTACGGTTGTGGGCTCGTCGTTGACGTGATCGAAGTCGGTTGTTGAGCAATCAAACCAGTGGCGTGTTGTAACGATCTCCTGCTTTGTTTGAGAAGAGGGATGTGCTTGGAGGATGCAGCCAGGTGACAGAGAAGCAGCAGCTGATGGTGCGAATCCAGGAATCGGTTGCTCGAACTCCTGTTAGACGGTCAGATGCATTGGTTGAAGAACATGCGGTTGGATGGATTCATGGAAACAATAATCATATCACTGATAATAGTAGTAACAGACGGCTGCATGCAACAGACTGTCATGGGGATTAACGCAGGCACTCCCACATGACTGAATGCATTCTGGTAGGCTCTGGTGAGTAGCGGTGACTTATTCCAGGAAACCCTGAAGTTCCCATTCCGGACGAAGCTTCACGTCTGCTTCAAGTTGCTTTTCCACTTCCCTTACGGCTCGTTGATTAACTGCGAATGCATATGTAGCAAGTACTAGTGTACTGTGAAGAATACGCATTAGGGCTAATCGATCTACAATGACTGGGGATGACGAAGAGCTGGAGAG